CGCGGACGGCTGCGGATGGCAAATTTGTGGCGAGAATTGCGCGGACGGTTGGGGACGGCGTGGGTGCGAGGGAGTGGCTGGAAATGGGCGGGGAGCAGAAGGCGCCGGGGATGAGTGCGAGCTTGGACGGCGTGGGTGCAAGGGAGTGGCTGGAAATGGGTGGGGAGAAGAAGCTGCTGGGGATGAGCGAGCTTGGCTGCGCGGACGGCTGCGGACGCCATGGTCGCAAGGGAGTGCATGGGTGGAAATGGGTGGGAGAAGAAGCCGCTGGGGATGAGCGAGCTTGGCTGCGCGGACGGCGTGGGTGCAAGGGAAGGGAGTGGTTGGAAATGGGTGGTGAGAAGAAGCCGCTGGTGATGAGCGAGCTTGGCTGCGTGGACGGCTGGAGGAGAAGCCGCTGGGAATGAGCGAGCTTGGCTGCGCGGAAGGCCGCGGACGGCGTGTGTGCAAGGGGGTGGCTGGAAATGACTGGGGAGAAGACTAAGAAGCCGCTGGGGATGAGCGAGCTTGGCTGCGGGGATGGCTGCGGACGGCGTGGGTGGAAAGGGGAAGAAGCCGCTTGGAATGAGCGAGTTTGTCTGCTCGGACGGCTGCGTTCGGCGTCGTTGCCAGGGAGTGGCTGGAAATGGGTGGGGAGAAGAAGCTGCTGGGAGAGTTTGGCTGCGCGGCCGGCTGCGCACAGCGTGGGTGCAAGGGAGTGGCTGGAAATGGGTGGGGAGAAGAAGCCGCTGGGGATGAGCGAGCTTGGCTGCGCAGACGGCTGCGGACGGCTTGGGTCAAGGGAGTTGGTGGAAATGGGTGGACAAAAAAAAGCGTTGGGGATGAGCGAGCTTGGCTGCGCGGATGGCTGCGGACGCCGTGGGTGCAAGGGGGTGCCTGAAAATGGGTGGGGAGACGAAGTTGCTGGGAATAAGCGAGCTTGGCTGCGCGGACGCGGACGGCGTGGGTGCAAGGGAGTGGCTGGAAATGGATGGGGAGAAGAAGTTGCTGGGGATGAGCCAGCTTGGCTGGAGACAAAAAGCCGCTGGGGAAGAGTGAGCTTGGCTGCGCTGATGGCTGCGGACGGCGTGGGTGCAAGGGAGTGGCTGGAAATGGATGGGGAGCAGAAGTTGCTGGGGATGAGCGAGCTTGGCTGGAGACAAAAAGCCGCTGGGGATGAGTGAGCTTGGCTGCGCTGATGGCTGCGGACGGCATGGGTGCAAGGGAGTGGCTGGAAATGGGGAGAAGAAGCCGCTGGGGACGACCGGACGGCTGCCAACGGCTTGTGTGCAAGGGGATGGCTGGAAATGGGTGGAGAAAAAAAGCCGCTGGGGATGAGCGAGCTTGGCTGCGCGGACGGCTGCGGACGGTGTGGGTGCAAGGGAGTGGCTGGAAATGGGTTGGTGCAAGGGGGTGGCTGGGGATGAGCGAGCTTGGCTGCGCGGACGGCTGCGGACGGCGTGGGTGCAAGGGAGTGGGTGGAAAATGGGTGGGGAGAAGAAGCCGCTGGGGATGAGCGAGCTTGGCTGAGCGGATGGCTGCGGACGGCGTGCGACCCATTTCCAGCCACTCCCTTGCAACGAGGCCGTACGCAGCCGTCCGAGCAGACAAACTCGCTCATGCCAAGCGGCTTCTTCCCTTTTCCACCCCCGCCGTCCGCAGCTATCCGCGCAGCCAAGCTCGCTCATCCCCAGCGGCTTCTTCTCCCCAGTCATTTCCAGCCACCCCCTTGCACACACGCCGTCCGCAGCCGTCCGCGCAGCCAAGCTCGCTCATTCCCAGCGGCTTCTCCTCCCCGCCCATTTCCAGCCACTCCCTTGCACCTACGCCGTCCGCAGCCGTCCACGCAGCCAAGCTCGCTCATCACAAGCGGCTTCTTCTCACCACCCATTTCCAACCACTCCCTTCCCTTGCACCCACGCCGTCCGCGCAGCCAAGCTCGCTCATCCCCAGCGGCTTCTTCTCCCACCCATTTCCACCCATGCACTCCCTTGCAACCATGGCGTCCGCAGCCGTCCGCGCAGCCAAGCTCGCTCATCCCCAGCAGCTTCTTCTCCCCACCCATTTCCAGCCACTCCCTTGCACCCACGCCGTCCAAGCTCGCACTCATCCCCGGCGCCTTCTGCCACCCATTTCCAGCAACTCCCTCGCACCCACGCCGTCCCCAACCGTCCGCGCAATTCTCGCCACCCATTTGCCATCCGCAGCCGTCCGCGCAGCCACCCATTTCCAGCCACCCCCTTGCACCCACGCCGTCCGCAGCCGTCCGCGCAGTTCTCCGCACCCATGTGCCGTCCGCAGCCGTCCGCGCAGCCAAGCTCGCTCATTCCCAGCACCTTCTTCTCCCCGCCCATTTTCAGGCAGACGGCTGCGGACGGCTTGGGTCAACGGAGTTGGTGGAAATGGGTGGACAAAAAAAAGCGTTGGGGATGAGCGAGCTTGGCTGCGCGGACAGCTGCGGACGCCGTGGGTGCAAGGGAGTGCCTGAAAATGGGTGGGGAGAATAGGTGCTGGGAATGAGCGAGCTTGGCTGCGCGGACGGCTGCGGACGGCGTGTGTGCAAGGGGGTGGCTGGGGAGAAGAAGACGCTGGGGATGAGCGAGCTTGCGGACGGCTGCGGACGGCGTGGGTGCAACGGAGTGGCTGGAAATGGGTGGGGAGGACAAGCATGGAAAATGGTTGCTTGTCGGCTGGCTATGTGCGCATATAGATTAACCGATAAAATGGATGCAAGGGGGTGGGGCCAGGGAATGGGTGGAGACATGGCGTAGGATGATTTGCTTTTTCCCGAGAGCGTCTGAGCGCAGGATTCTTCCAATAGTGGGGGTCTGTAAAACATCTTCTCATCTTCACATCTTCTCATCTTCACATCTTCTCATCTTCACATCTTCTTATCCTCACATCTTCTCCTCATCCCTGATCTTCTCATCTTCACATCTTCACATCTTCTCACATCTTCTCACATCTTCTCACATCTTCTCACATCTTCTCACACCTCCACTCACATCTTCTCACACATCTTCTCACATCTTCTCACATCTTCTCACATCTTCTCATCTTCACATCTTCTCATCTCACATCTTCTCCTCTTGCCCTCTTGCCCTCTTGCCCTCTCCTTCTT